GCGATGGCGTGGAGGAGGGCGCGATGGCGTGGAGGAGGCCGCGATGGCGTGGAGGAGGCCGAGATGGCGGGGAGGAGGCCGCGATGGCGGGGAGGAGGCCGCGATGGCGTGGAGGAGGCCGCGATGGCGTGGAGGAGGCCGAGATGGCATGGAGGAGGGCGCGATGGCGCGGAGGAGGCCGAGATGGCGTGGAGGAGGTCGCAATGGCGTGGAGGAGGTCGCGATGGCGGGGAGGAGGCCGAGATGGCGTGGAGGAGGCCGTGATACACTCACTCATCTTACACTGACTCACTCACACATCATACACTGACTCACTCACACATCATACACTGACTCACTCATCATACGCTGACTCACTCACACATACACTCACACAACCACTGACCCATTCACTCATCATACAATGAGTCACTCATCATACATTCACTCATAACATGCTGACTCACTCACACATCATACACTCACTCACACTACCACTGACTCACACATCATACACTGACCCCTTTATCATATGCTGACTCACACGTCATACACTCACTACCATTGACTCACTCACACATCATACACGGGGAGTGTCATGCTGACAGATATGGCTGCAAGTTTGTTCGTACATGTTATGTATATCGTTTATTGTTAAATTTGAATCAAAGTTCCTATGATTACTGTTGTTACATTGTATTTTATAGCTTTATTTTGGTGATTTCTAAAACATATGGTTAAGCCATGTTTCTTTGCGGAAGTCGGGAGTTGGCCTGATAACTTTAATCTAAATTGTCTTATGGTTGTTATTGTTTGTCTTGCATCACACTGGGATTTTTGCACACAGCGTTGTAACACGGTGGTCTTTTTTTCTGGAAGATTTGCTGGTTTATCCCAGGATGTTTCTGTTGCGCGACGTCGCTTTAAGATGTTCTGTTCATATTTAGTTTGTTGTGGTTGCACCCGATTCAAGAGCCGCATGGCTCACAAGGCTATACCTAATAAATGAAAACTTTAAAAAACTTGAAACTTGAGGTGCAAGAGCAAGACGGGATAAGGCATCCACGAGGCCATGGCGGAAGGCGACAGCATAGGGAGGCCTTCATCTAGCAGTGAATAGACAATGGTGGTGATGATGATGATACAAAATGTATACGTAAATATCAGTATGGTGATGTATGGTCAATCAACCCCCATGGCCTACATGGTGTGTGGGGAGGCCTTCATTCAGCAGTGGATTGACAAAGCGCTGTAGTCTATTATAAAAGCGCAATTTATGGCTCCCTGCTTGTGGTATACATTCCACTTTCCAGGAGGGAGGCTAGATTTGGTCCCCCCCAATGTTGACTCCATGGCTACGGCCTTGTAACATAGGTGTGTGTTTTGGGTTAAATCGTGCACGAAAGTTTTAAATATTCCCTGGTAACAGAATTAACTCGAGGTAACAGAATTACAAGAACACTGCAACCCCTGCTGTACAACACCAACCCCTGCTGTGTCGGATACCTTGATACGGTATTGCAAGCTCAAATGACGCCGATGGCACATGTTGTGATCGCTGTATCGGGTTCTCTGTCCCATGCTGCGAATCCGTTCCTCCGGATCAAAGCACGCAAGCAGTGTGAGCACCCAAATGACTCTCCACTCACCAACAATGTGCCCTCGAACGAGTGTTTGTCCCGTGTCAATTATACGGATAACATTGCTTTGTTATCGTCAGAGCTATATTAAGCCACGTTATTTAACGTAGAGCAAGGTTAAGCCACATTATTTAATGAGCCGCACTAACCGGCCCTGACTAAATATGAGCATACCACCACCATGACCGGCATGGGGAGGAGGCCTTCATCAAGAAGTTGATTGACAAAGGTCTATAAATATATTTAATGTTCATATCATTAATTTTATTTAATTTGTTTCTATTGCGCTTGTTCACCTATGAAAAACCTCATTGAGTCTTTTTTTCCAGGAGGGTACTGCCAGGTTCCCATCGTACGAGGGCAATGATGCTAAACTACTAAACATTTTCTTGGTAAATATCCAAATTTTGGCAAATTTGAACCATGACTCCAGCACACTTGGGAATGTCGCCACGTTATCTCTCACGTTCACTGCGAAGCAGACGGTGCGCTTTATGTATTAAGACAAATGCACTCACCAGGGTAATAACCAGGCCGGCCGCTGGATTCGAACCGTGAACCTTGCGCTGTAATCCTGTGGGGTTACAGAGTGAGCTTGGTCTCAGTCCTGGCCCAATCCTACCCCTGTCCTCTCCCCAGTCTCGTAGCGATTCATCATCCACGTGGGTTGTGGGCTCCGTGTCTGTGCGTGCGTCTGGTGCCCGCCTGCCGCCTGCCTTCCACACGAGGAGGGGGTGGGTGACGTGCCAAAGGGGCTGGCATTGCACACTCCATGTAAGTAGCAGGACGTAGGCACGGGGACCTGCCACTGGGCAGCGGAAGAGAGAAGTGGGGAGGCCCAGCGGTGGTGGCTCAAGTTCAATTCCTGGCCACGGCTTACATCAGTAACGAGTGATATCTTAGCCAGTGCTGTGCCCTTTTTAATGAGTATCTGGTAGTGTGGTGGGTAAGCATCGGTACCGGGGAGGCAAAGGCAGTCTGGCATTACTAAACACAACTACTCCCACATGCACCGTGCCGTGTCATGTTTAGCAAGCCTGACTTGCTGATGAGACCCAAAATGTTGAAACCGGTCGAGCGTTTGTGTGCATTCTTACATTAATATTGAAGGGCATTAGGGGGGCAAACTGATATATTGAAAATGTAGAGATACATAGGGATAATTTATCATTAGTTTGCCCATCACGCATAATTATGTTTTGCTCGATAATCACGGCTTGGCATGAGGAGCGGTCCCCGGTCACGTGGCTTCTTTCATTCTCAGCCGGTGCCACGCGCCGCCGGGTGGTGCTGCCAGTGCCATGCCAGCTTTCGCTCAATCCACCACCCTCCGAGGAGACGCCGCGGCAGGCCTGATAACTGCAAAACGCAGCATTGCGAGGCTTTGTATTTAAATTGCTCTGTCGTTAATATCGTTTGTTAGTGCTCCGTGATCTATCGTGTGCGTTTGGAGTTGCAGTGCCACGCACGTGTTTTTGTGTGTGTAGCTCAAGAACTTGGGCGTGGATGTGAATGTGGAGGACGGCGCCCTCCACCGCCAGAGCTATGGTACCGCAGCGATGCATTCAAGGTGGCACGCGGCCCAACGCCGATTCCGTGTTACTAGTGAAGAGCGACTCATTTGTAAGTGATTTAACCATTCGAAGAGTTTATTCGATAATTGGTTAATTGTAGGAACACCAACCCACTGGCCCACCCACTCGCCCACCCACTCGCCTCCACACTCGCCCCCACACTTGCCCCCACACTCGCCCCCCCACTCACCCCCACTCATCCAACTACTCACCCACCCACTTCCCCACTCGGATATAGGGAAACAATGTGAAATGTTAAATAATGTTTGTGACATACTAATTCGTTTTCAGGTCATCATCTGGGTTAATGGTCCACATTTTCCAAATTGCAAAGATATAATCCATTAGGATTATACCGTTTATTCATCACCGCTTACGACTGCACAAAACTTGGCAGGGACCCTTCTGAAAAAGCACCGTGAGGCTCCCAGTGACGCTTTCCTTGGTAAACTAGCAGAGTGAGTTATAGTGATATTCTTGTAAATTGAAATTTGTTCTGGAGCTTTATTCCAATGTCGAGGTCCGCTAGCCACGACGAGAGGATTTCAGGAGAGGGTTCGTGCTTTGGTCTAACCGTTCCTCCTCCATCTCAAGGAGCGTGTGCAGACTGCAGTGATTTACAATACCGTCCGTAGTATTCGTCATAATAACGTTGTTCTACGGCACTCGCTCTTTCCTAAAGAGCAGCAGCTGCCTGCTGCTAGGCAGCAGCAGCGCGCCGCCTTCCCGTGCACGGCTCGTGCGCCGGGGCGCGTCGCGTGCCAAAGATCGACAATAACCGCGCGGAGACGCTCGTGGGACCTCGTGTCTGGAAGAGTGAAATCGCTGACCCTGAACATTGTTCCCCGAGCTACATTGCTCTCATAAAAAATTGAAGCTTTAATTTTTACCCGAGTTGGGAGCAACCCAGTGTTGAGAGAGAGAGAAAAGAAATTCAAGGTTGGTCTGACCCCAAAAACCATCCGTGAAAGCGACAGGGGCTGAGTGGAGGCAAACGATCGGGTTAGAATATGAAGGGGAAAAAATGTCGTAAACGAAAAAACGCACAAGCGGATAAATTTAAAGTATTGTGCACGTGTTGCCTGCGAGACCACTTGCCATCTAATTGTGTCGGTATCTGCCAAGAGTGCACGCGTCTGGCCCCCTCTTCTGTTCGTCTCTGGTGCGTCACAGATTATTGCATCCGTGATGGCGAGTGGGAATTGGAATGTGAAATGTGCAAAAAACAGAAGCCCTAATTGGCACCCGGGGAGTGAGAGTTGACGTTCCTGTCATCTTCATCCACCCCCCCTCCCCCCGCTTTCCCCCCATTGCTCTCGGTGCCATCGCGGGAGCGACGGTCCTCACCCTGACGCCTTCCTATGGGGACCGCTGCGGCTGCCGGGAAACGTCTTTGAAACGCATTCCTCTGGAATCCACCGCGACAGGAGTGGCAGCAGAAGCTCCTCTCTTTCCCTTAAGTCGAAAGCGCGCCGAATTTTGCACCGAAAAAATTTGTGTAAAAAGGCAATTGCGATTTCCCTCTACTGTACTACCTGGCCTCTGCTCATTTCGGCTTTCTTAAAATATCAGTCTATCAGCATTTATAGCATTTGTAATATGTAATTGCCCAGGGGAGGCTGATTTCTAGGCTAAAGGGTGTTAGGCCAATCGTGTTTCCTTTTAAATGATCCCAAGTTTCAACTAAATCTTGCTTTTAAAGCACATCAATCGATGTCCTGAGTTGTACAATTCTGAAGTTAGCGGTTTTTTATACAATGACGTCATGGCCATGAGAATGAAGGGGGGGGGGAATACTCATTGCAAATTTCAAATTTTAGAGCAATTTTATTTCAGCGTCATTAAATATTCATCACCGTAACCGGCCATCTTCATCACCACAAGGGTCCCCGCGTATTGTCGGTGATTTCCGAGTGCTGCCATGACACTCCCCCCACCACCCCCAGTGGCCCTCGTTGCAAATCCGCAGAGAACGGTGGCGGCGGTGTGCCACAGACCGCCCACGGTGTCCAAACGGCCACGTGTTTCGTTGGTCATAGGATCTCATGTATCTTGTCCACCCTCACCCCCACCAAGTCTGAAGGTGATCCAAGGAAATAATCTCGGAACCAGTTGGGTCACCCGACGCAACTACGCAAGCCTCGTGGCCACCCACCTCTCCCCTCTAATTCTCTTCTGTCAATCATCAAATGGCAACTGATGATGAGGCTGGATTAAATTATTCCACTCCTTCCTTGCTCTGGTCCCAACGATCAGTTCCCTATAGACTTGCATTTCTCTCTTCCAAGTCCTGCTCTTCGCCATCTGTTCACGGTGGCAAGATGTTTACTACCTCGCCTGGTGTACAGGAGGGTCGTGGGTTCGATCCCGCCCCTAATGCCTGTATATTTGGAGTTTGCATGTCCTTTTCTCTCCCCGTGGTGGGGTGGATTTTTCTCTGGGTCCTCCGGTTTTTCCGCATTTTGAAACTTCACGCGTTTAAGAGTATTTCGCTGATATACATTTCCACACAAGCCGCTTCGTTGAGCTCTCATTTGTGATAACTAGAGGTCGCTTCTGAAAAAGAGCTGTGTAGCTCAGTGGGCCTTCCCTGATAAAATTTCATAAAAAGTGTTAGTTTTTAAATAGTTTTATACCACCCCGTGGCCAGCCTCTGCTTCCCGCTCACAACACAATGGCCATGCAAGGCCACCGACTGTCATTTGGTGGCCTGCGTTAATTTGAGAACTACAAATGGCCATGGGAATGTGGAATTTACACTTCTGGCTTCCAGGGCTGCCAAAACGCAGTAGAAGAGCATGTTTCAGCTGGGTAATAAGAATGTCGGTGTTAAAACCAGCTATGCATATATTTTATATACACACACGATGGAATACAGACACATCAGGCGCGGATGTCTTCTCATCCATCCATCACGTTTCAGCAATAAGGTGAGCAGTGGGGAGTTTTGCTGCGCGGGATTATTCACTCGTTATTTATAGCTTAATCATATAAGCGACGCACGTTTAATTGAGCCGTTTATACTACAAATGAAAAACATGTTTCATTATTTTCTCGTGCATCGGTAATTGTGCGCAGGGTGCAGATAGCTTGGCTATGGCAAACCGTCCCGACATCAACTTATCTCCCTCCCGGCTGAGACATTGCAAATGGCTCGCCCCCTTATCTTGCGATGGTTTGATATTTGCCTTGTATGTAAATGTCATCTCCGAATTAGTTGCAGCGCAAAATCGATCAAAAAAAGCAAGCACAAAGCAACCCCCCCCCATCACAATGCTAAAATCTGTTTGAAATGTACAAATGTTTCTTTCATATTTCAAAAACCCATTAAGCACCACAGAGAACTTGATTTTGTTCAGATGGACATTATCGGAGCCCTCTATTCACGCTAAGAAAGCCCGCATGCTGTCTGTGCCAACCAGAAACAAAGATGTACATGTTTCTATAACGCCCTTTAACCCAGTAAAACGGTTGGGCGTGTATGCCCCTGTTATACTTGATCAGACGTTTTAATAAAATGTACTATTAACATATCAAGATGCAAGGATGGGGTTGGGATTTTTTTCCCCCCTTTAATATTGAAATCAAGTCGACGCAAAGGGTGGGCAACGGAAAAGATCGACAGCTCCACGTGGCGCGTGCCCGGCGCACGACTCAGATGGCCAAGTGGCGGGTCGTCTCTGTGCACACACTCGCTTGGCAACTCGGATAGCCATGCAGGGGAGGTCGCGGTGTACACACTCGCTCCATACGCACGATCTGTAACTCGGGTGGCCACGCAGAGGCTTGCTGTTCTGCCCAACTCGCTCGAATCGGCACGGCGACAACTGGTGAGCAGACAATGACGCCCAACTCGGCGTCGCTAGCCTTATTCCAGGGGTGCGCACGTTGGATCAAGTAAAAATAAATCGCTCCGTGTTTTCGGGTCGTACCCAACATTTAGCTCCCCGTAGCGGCAGCTTCTCCAGGAACTGAAGCCCCCAGCTTGAAAAGGCGGGGAGCTTCAGTCCTTGTATCTTAATTCACATTTTTTTAAGTTTGCTCTGCACAGACTCAAAGGCCCAATACTGTGTCATCTCATTTCCCTCCTCTCCACACATCTCTTTTGCCCTCCAAAAAATAATCCCTCTTCTTCAAACTCTTAAAATGCAAATCCACCAACCCCCCACAATGTGCACATCATTAACTTGAGATATGGGTGCATATTGCCTACTTTATTATGAATCCGTGTAGTGTGTGTGTGTGTGTCCGTCCTAATGTTCTGAATGTCCGACAGACGAAGGCCTCAGCGGCTGTGCTGCTGGTCCACCGCGGATCGTCTCTCCCCTGCCAGCCGGTGCTGCACGCTCACGTGAGACGCACGCTCACGTGAGACGCACGCTCACGTGAGACGCACGCTCACGTGAGACGCACGCTCACGTGAGACGCACGCTCACGTGAGACGCACGCTCACGTGAGACGCACGCTCACGTGAGACGCACGCTCACGTGAGACGCACGCTCACGTGAGACGCACGCTCACGTGAGACGCACGCTCACGTGAGACGCACGCTCACGTGAGACGCACGCTCACGTGAGACGCACGCTCACGTGAGACGCACGCTCACGTGAGAAGCACGCTCACGTGAGAAGCACGCTCACGTGAGACGCACGCTCACGTGAGACGCACGCTCACGTGAGACGCACGCTCACGTGAGACGCACGCTCACGTGAGACGCACGCTCACGTGAGACGCACGCTCACGTGAGACGCACGCTCACGTGAGACGCTCACGTGAGACGCACGCTCACGTGAGACGCACGTTCACGTGAGACGCACGTTCACGTGAGACGCACGCCCTGCAGGTTTTGCCTCAGGTTCAGCACGACCTTCTCCTGTCGGGCCTTCTCTTCCTTGAACGCCATTCTGTTGGCCTTCTTCTCCAGACGCCGGTCCTGCGCACACAGACACGCGCGTCATTCGTGGTCACGCTTGCAGCCATACGTCCATAGTTTTTAAGAGACTGGCTTCGTTATTTTCTTTGCCTTTATGTGGAGTAAACATCACAGATTCAGTTGAATTTGGTAGAGCTATTCGATTGTATTGAGAGGTGGTGAATTGCAGACACTCTCCACGAGGACATTACGTATCTGGGCCAATCCGGTTCAGCGGTGCCCACTATATATCCACGTAAGATCGACGCCGAGTGGCGGCGGTAGGGAGTCGCCGATCACGGTGTGTGTTGGGCGCTGCGCGTGAGAGAGAACAAAACGCCACCAGGACTGGCCGCAGGGCGGGGGACTCGGCGTGCTCACCTTGCGCTCCTCTTTGATGGCGTGCTTGCGCGCGCGGCGCTGCTCCGGGGTCTCCTCCGGCGCCCGGGGAACGGCGGCGGCGCGGGGGAGGTCGGCGGCCGTCACGGTGCCCATGCGCTCCACCTGGCGCGCCGTGGGGCCGCGTTGGGGCAGCACGCCCAGCGGGAGGCCCGTCTTGCGCGATACGCGCATGGGCTGGGTAGGGGAGGGGCGGCACGCGCCTTGGTCATCCACAGCAACTTCGCGGTAAACGCGTCCGTGTGGGGCACAGTAGCATATCGGCTAGCGTGCTGTGCTAGGAACCCAGCAACCCGGGTTCGTTTCTTATCTGAACCTGTCCTGGGCATCCGCTAGGTACCGGATGCGTGCGGTGACATTCACTGGGGAGACAAAGGTGGCCAGGCGGGGTGCCGGCCACCCACCCCCGTGGTGTGCCGTGACGGCCTTCAAAGGTGCTCGCTAACAGCACTTGCCTCAGTCTGTTAAGGCTATACAGGGGATCTTTGTCTTTATTTGTATGCGTACGTGCAGTGGAGCGACGCTCGCAACAATGAGCAGAGTGCCGTACAGATGCAACACAGCATGGTGGCGCAGTAGGGAGGCCAGGTGGTGCATCTGCCAGCCATCTCGGCCAGTCCCACCCATAACCCCCTGCCAGCAGCGAGCCTTCCACTATTCACGTGGCCTCAAAGTGCATGCAGTGGTGATGTGATCATCACTTAGTGGAAAGTGGATTTTGTTGTACACACGTACAGTGGCTTTGAAAGGCAACTTGAATTGAGGTGGGTTAAGGTAATTCAGAGGGTTCAGAATGGCCAACTGAGAGCACCTGAACCTACAAGGATGAGATCCTTGGGATTCACAACTGTGCTTCACATGCCCAAAATTAAACCGGCTTATCAAGTGTGGCGAGCTAACCGGTAGCAGACAGGTGCCTGCACAAATAACCCGAGTTATAGCATTTGTATTATTGGGTCTTTCGGTAAAGTCACGTAGATAGGTTCAAAGAAAATCAACAAAAAACTAGGACGACGATTGCTTGTGTTACGATCGAAACGTCGTAGTTTTGTGTTATTTTCTTTGAACCTATCTACGTCACTTTACTGAACGACCCAAGAATATGAATTCCTGCAGTCACGAAAGCTTAAAGTCAAGATTTATAACAGTTGGTTTTCGTTTAATTTGATAATTCCACTGTGTAACACATTATTTTTTTCCTGGGTAGTGACTGTTATTTCCTAATTGCTTATGCATCAAAAGTACACTGATTAAACGCGACACTGTTTTAAACAAATTATTCGGTGATGCTGCTACGTTGGCAGTGGCGCACAATTAACTAAACTCACATTCGTCAATAACATGTAGTGAAAATGAATGGCCCTTCAGCAGACAATAAAATAATTGATTACAAAACAAACCAAAAGACACAGATTTTCAGAATCATTGTCACGAGACACGACAATTTCAGTAGAGTGCACACTAACTCATACACAACTTATTGACACAACACACATTCACATGACTGCATATTTGTTTAAGCACTGAAGGAAATTTACTCACTTTTGATGGCTCTTCAATCAGCTTTGGGTGGTTGTAGAGGTTGGAATACGTGCCTGAAAGAGAGCAAAACAAGTTACCCAGATACCAATGCCTCGCCAGGCACTTCAAATAGAGTTTCAATCAAAGGTTTTATGATTAATTTACACTCTGGCGATTATTCACGAAGCGCTTGACTCGGACTGGTTTCACCAGGCAAGGGCGAATCAATTAATACCTATTCTCACACGTAGAATCATGTGCATAGGAGAAACGAAGTTGTAATTTACGCTAATTCTGTAATCATGCAAATGGCAAACAAGAGACTGGCAAACAAGAGACTCGTATGAGAAACAAAACGGTAAACTTGGGACGAAAATATTCTGATTGGATAATATCGTCACCCAGATCTGTGACAGGTCATCGCGCAGTGGGGAGATGATTGTTAAAGGGGCCCCACTGTGACTGTTAAGGCTGTCAAATGTTGGTGCAGAGATCCTCACTGATAATAGATTCGCAGTCCCACTTCTCTGCCGGCTTCTCCATTGCCACCTCCACCATATCGTCGTCGTCCTCCTCCTCGCTCTCCCCTTTGCCCTGCTCCTTGTTCCTCGGACCATGCTTGTGACGCTCCTCCTGGTTCGCGTCCGGCCTCTGGTGCCTTTGGAGAAAATGGTTTTCGAAATTTGAAAAAAATCCAAACTAAAGTGACACATACTTGGCACGCAGTTGCAGGCACACTGCGAGCCACGTTTTGCAAATCAGCATGAAGGAGTCACAACGCATAGGAAATTCGCTTGATTCCTGGTGAAACCTTTTGTGGAGTATTTAAAAACACAAACATTTGCATATACCCCTCTCCATGGACATTACTCTTAGTTTAATTTATAAACATGGCTTCACACTTAAGTACTCTTCAAACACCTTAATTATTCCTTTTGTCAGTAACTTTCAATGTATATTTACAAAAAAGAAAAGAATTTGTTTACTCGAAGACCAAAGCTGATTCAGTGCATTTGCGGCATTCTTACAGCGTAAGGTTATTACCAAGGGGTGGTGTTTCAATCTGCAGTAGTTTCACAGCACGATGTTGCTTTGCGTGATCCCAATTGAGTACATTTGCAGGTATTTGTCAAATTTGGCAAAGTGTGACTATAACGCCAGCACACAATGGCCGACTCCTGCGAATGGATGACCGTGCGTGAATTTTAACATACACTATTTGTAACTTTAACACACCTGCAGTATTAACCCCAAAGCACTCCAACAAACTCACCGCCACTCAGACTAGTAAGATCCCCCAACCCCCCAACCCCCAGTTACTGGAAGACGCGACCCAAAACAACAGGCTGTTCGCTCACTCACTCGGCCTGCTCGCGAGCGTGGAAGTCGTCCAGCGCGGCCTGCAGGCGAGTGCTGCCCGCGGGGATGCTGCCCTCCACCTCGCAGTGGTCGAGTGCTCCGATCTCGTCCTCCTCGTATGCCGCGAAGAACTGAGGACGACAACGTGTAAATGGTCGCGTCGCGATCAGCAGCACCACTGGTGCGAAATGATAGCTCAGGACCGTTTGAAAAGCAGCCTTGCTTTGGCTGTGCGAGACGGTACTTGGCCATGTCACGATTCATATCTTGCACAACCCTGTGGGGCCAAATGAAATGTCGCGATTCTGGGTGACGATCCGTTCTTTCCTTTTTTTACCATCTCGTTTGTATTAATTCCATGTTAACCGTGGGCACGACTCGATCTCTGTGGCAACGCCGAGGTGCACCGCGGTGCAAGTCACACCTTCTCAAAGCGGTCGTCCAGCAGCGTGAGCTGGTCGTTCCTGCGCATCACCGACGAGGTGAGCGAGTAGTCGGTGAACCTGGTCTTTGTCTCCTCGTCCATGAAGAGGCACTCCTTCCCGCGGCTACCGTCGTCCGTGCCGGGGCCGTCCGAGTCGTAACTCATGTCGTCCGAGTCGTCCACGTCCTCCCACTCCCCCGCCGCTTCATCGCCCGCTCTGCACAGTGACAGCGCCATTAATCAATCGTCACCTATTGGCACCTCGCGTAAACCCCTTGGGGGCATTCATTTATAAAAAAATTTTAATAAAAACACATTTCAAAATAAAAAAGGGCTCTTCATTACGGCTGTCTTATGCAATACGCTAACGGTTCAGGCTATGGTCAAGTCGAGCAGGTGAAAGTGATTTCTTGCTGAAATGAACATTGAGGCAGTGCTTGTCTCCCGTGTACAGCCCTGAGCCATGTGGTGTAAATTCCACATTCATATGACAGGGGAGAGTCTATCCATAGGACTACTGCTGCTGACTTCACCGCAGTGGTGCCAAGTGGTACAGAATGACACGCAGTGGAAGAGCATCTCCACTCACCCCTCTGCGTCGCCTCTTTCAGCGTTCGCCTGCATCACAAAATCGTCATCGAGTTCCGCATCTGGGTCGTCAAAGTTGAAGTCATCGTCGAGAGCCGCGACGACGTCGGGGTCCCAGTCCGGACGGGGTCCTGCAAAGCGCAACCACCACGCACACCCACATTGCAACGGGTGGACGGGAGGGAACCTACTTGACGCAGCAATTCACCCATTAAAATCTATTTTTTAGCTTGTGATGCACGCGTTGTACGTTAAGACTCGATCTTTTCATTTTTCTTTTTGTGCATGTTTTGTAGAATAAATGGGTGTTTGCGATACCTGCAGCAGCTGAAGGTAAAATATAATTTGATCAAATGGAATCGCAACGCTGCATCTCGGCAATTCCTCGATTCGTTTGTAACATGTAGACCTCAGCACTTTTCCACCAAAACGCAACATTCGCCTAACGTAACCTTAATCAGCAAGAACACCGACGAATGTGGACAACCACAAATGCCGGCTCGAGCCAGGAGCACGGCCACGGGGAAGAGGGGACATCACCGGGAACGGGAGCTGCGCGATTCAGCAAGCCGGTCTTCTCCTCAAACTCCGATGCAAACACCGAGGAGGGCAGCTGCACCTTCGCAGCCTGGAATGCAGCACAGCGGAGCGACTCAACACCCAAACATTCATTTCAACTCCAGACCCCAAACACAATCACGTGTGACCAAAATGTTGTATGCAACAACTCACAATAAGATTAAAAACTCATTTCTTTAGAACTGTTTTTGTGTTTAGATTGTTGTCCTTTCCCCGCACCTCCGATTTGCACAGTTGGCTACGTACGGTGCGAAATATGTTCAACATACACACACCACCAACACCCAAACTGTGCTCCAATGAACCGTTACGGTACATTATAATTTCCACCATTGGCCTAAATATAACCATCACATTTCAAAGTCGCACAATTTGGAGGTATGTATCGTGAACATACAAACCAACTTTAAATCGATTAATCTAAGCAGTGCCCAATATACTTTACGCACCACGAAATGCACGCCATGGACCAAGGACTGCAGAGCGAGCGGCTCTGGATGTTGGCATCTTACCGGGATGTGCACAATCTCGATGGCTGCATCCTGCGCTCGTTTCGGCGGCGCCGACACCAACTCTGCCGGCCGCGACGCCTCCTGCAGGTGCTGCAGGTAGTTGTAGTCATCGTCGAAGAAGACACCAAAGTCGCGCTGTTGTTCTTTTCTCTTTTCAAGGTCGCTGTTCTGCGCACGCGCATTAAGAAAAGGCGATGACAATAACGATGTTTCCACGTATACAAATGGGAAGGATAAATGTGTACATGTCCTTACAAAAAAATTACCTAATTGATTACTTAAGAATTAAATAGAGAAAATTAAGATTGACTTCGCTGAATTCAGTGAAAATAAAATTCTCTGCGATGCTGTTTTGGGCAGTCATCAGTGACGAAGCTGAAACCATCAACTCACACTTGAAAACAATGTTTAATAACCGGTGGCTGAGACCTAAATTTGAACCCTGGGTCTCGGTGGTGCTGGCTTGGTGCTATCCACGCAGATATATATCCACAGACCATATTTTTGTCCGATCACGTTCACTGAATTTAAGGGGTTAGGGTTAAGGGTTAGGTTTTAAAGTTCGGGGTTAGTGACTGCAGTTATAGTCGTGGCCAATTTAGATTTGAATTTCTGCGAATCCTCAATGGAAACTCAGTGAGACTCAGCCCTGTGTTGTGTGCTATACCCAGATCACTTCCAATTAGAAGCATAACAAATATCTCGAACAATATGGAGTAAGGGGAGAGCAGTGGCGCAGTGGTTCGCACACCGTGCTGTCAACTCTGTGCTGCGTTTGATTCCTGTCCAACAGCTACAGTGAGGGAAAAAAGTATTTGATCCCCTGCTGATTTTGTACGTTTGGCCACTGACAAAGAAATGATCAGTCTATAATTTTAATGGTAGGTTTATTTGAACAGTGAGAGAAAGAATAACAACAACAAAATCCAGAAAAACGTATGTCAAAAATGTTATAAATTGATTTGCATTTTAATGAGGGAAATAAGTATGTTACCCCTCTGCAAAACATGACTTAGTACTTAGTGGCAAAACCCTTGTTGGCAATCACAGCGGTCAGACGTTTCTTGTAGTTGGCCACCAGGTTTGCAAACATCTCAGGAGGGATTTTGTCCCACTCCTCTTTGCAGATCTTTTCCAAGTCATTAAGGTTTCGAGGCTGACGTTTGGCAACTCGAACCTTCAGCTCCAAAGATTTTCTATGGGATTAAGGTCTGGAGACTGGCTAGGCCACTCCAGGACCTTAATGTGCTTCTTCTTGAGCCACTCCTTTGTTGCCTTGGCCGTGTGGGATTTTGTCATGCTGGAATACCCATCCACGACCCATTTTCAATGCCCTGGCTGAGGGAAGGAGGTTCTCACCCAATATTTGATGGTACATGGCCCGTCCATCGTCCCTTTGATGCAGTGAAGTTGTCCTGTCCCCTTAGCATAAAAACACCCTCAAAGCAAAATGTTTCCACCTCCATATTTGACGGTGGGGATGGTGTTCTTGGGGTCATAGGCAGCATTCCTCCTCCTCCAAACACACCGAGTTGAGTTGATGCCAAAGAGCTCCATTTTGGTCTCATCTGACCACAACACTTTCACCCAGTTGTCCTCTGAATCATTCAGATGTTCATTGGCAAACTGCAGACAGGCATGTAAATGTGCTTTCTTAAGCAGGGGGACCTTGCGGGCGCTGCAGGATTTCAGTCCTTCACGGCGTAGTGTGTTACCAATTGTTTTCTTGGCGACTATGGTCCCAGCTGCCTTGAGATCATTGACAAGATCCTCCCGTGTAATTCTGGGCTGATTCCTCACCGTTCTTATGATCATTGCAACTCCACGAGGTGAGATCTTGCATGGAGCCCTAGGCCGAGGGAGATTGACAGTTCTTTTGTGTTTCTTCCATTTGCGAATAATCGCACCAACTGTTGTCACCTTCTCACCAAGCTGCTTGGCAATGGTCTTGTAGCCCATTCCAGCCTTGTGTAGGTCTACAATCTTGTCCCTGACATCCTTGGAGAGCTCTTTGGTCTTGTCTTGGCCATGGTGGAGAGTTTGGAATCTAATTGATTGATTGCTTCTGTGGACAGGTGTCTTTTATACAGGTAACAAGCTGAGATTAGGAGCACTCCCTTTAAGAGTGTGCTCCTAATTTCAGCTCGTTACCTGTATAAAAGACACCTGGGAGCCAGCAATCTTTCTGATTGAGAGGGGGTCAAATACTTATTTCCCTCATTAAAATGCAAATCAATTTATAACATTTTTGACATGCGTTTTTCTGAAAAAATTTTTGTTGTTATTCTGTCTCTCACTATTCAAATAAACCTACCATTAAAATTATAGACTGATCATTTCTTTGTCAGTGGCCAAACGTACAAAATCAGCAGGGGATCAAATACTTTATTTCCCTCACTGTAATATCAGTGGCGACTGACATCCTTCTGCTAACACACACGTCACTAAATTTTGATTTAAAGCTTTCGTGACTGCAGTAATTCATATTCTTAGCTCTTTCGGTAAAGTCACGTTGAAGGGAAACAATAATATAATATATTGTTATATATATTTTATTATTTTATTGTTTCCCTTCAACGTGACTTTACCGAAAGAGCTAAGAATACACACGTCACTTGCAAGCCAGGTCACTCTCGCAAATGAGAGGAGCCCTGCAGTGACAACGGACTGGGACTAAAAATCGGCCCAGGCATTTGTAAACACAGAGCGCCCCCAAATTGCCGTGCCATCTCATTGGCTGGTGAGAAAGAATCTTTGGGGGCTGCCGAATATGGGACTCGATGCCAACTAAGAGCGTAAATAATCAATCAAGTCTACATACATTGGAGGTAAAAAAAAAATGTAATAAAAAAAATTATATTGTTTTTACTCTGATCACATTTGCAATTTCCCCACACACACCGGACATGCTGGCCTGCTCTTTGAAGTTCTCACGCGGTTTAACTTCACAAATTAGAACTCGGCTGTACGGGGAGGGAGGGGGGGTACCTTGACCGCGGGTAGCAGCACGCGCTGGGGGGCTGTCTCGTCCGTCAGCAGGGGGTCGTGCTGGCTGCGGTGTACCAGGTGGAACTTGACCGCGCTGTGCTTGTCGATGAACGGCTTGGTTTTCCTGTGAGGCTGCGCGCACAGGGCAACAGAGAGAGATGTCGCGTTGGTGAGCCACTATGTTTACAGGCATCAGAGGTTTTTAATTAGGCGGTTAAATATCACAAGGATGGTCCGTTACATCACCAACGACACCAGTATAAGAATAGGTGTTACCCTTTCTGGCAATAAACAAGTGTTGAGATGTTCAAATATTAAACAGAAACCTTTCTGCAAGGAATCATGTCTGCATTAACCACACATGCTTGTGGTGACTATGCAAACAAAAACATGCCCTGTCTTTGAGACTGATTGGTCTACACCAGCCTTCTTTAGGGCCTGTCAACCAGTTTTCGACAAGAGAACGGCAAAAGGCGAACACCAAAAACACCGTTTATGTCATCCATCGCATTACGTATCATCGCTATTTACATAATTTGACCATGACAGGGATATCAGCAAAGCGGCATTCACATCACGATGACTGGAATATCCATCACCCGAACCCTCCCATGATCATCACCACGATCATCACCACATCACAACCACCCCATCATCCTAAAATTCCACCATCATAACAATCACCTTCCCAACACCACACCATTCAAAATCACCACCCTCATCATTACAACCACCTTAACATCATCACCACCCTCATCATTACAATCACCTTAACATCATCACCACCACACCATTCATCATCATCATTACAACCACCTACCCATCATCACCGCCTCGTGAACGTTACACGAGGCCGGTGGGTTGCCAACTCGCTTCTAAGGCCGAGCCGACTTTACGAAGAGGCCAAAAGGAACCAGCTCCGACAGAAAGCCACCGATGTCGGCCTTGAGCGGGAATCGAACTCGGGGTCACGGCTTCGTAGCTCGGTACGTAGCCACTCGGGCACCGTTGCCCGACTCACGAGGACATCAAAACCACGACCATCGCTCACCATGTCGGCGCCACGTGCTCCTCCGGCCTACGCGTATCAAGCCGGCCTCTTCCCGCGTCGCGTTCCCGCACCTCGTCTACTTGCGACCGACGAACGTATTACTACGCGCGCGCCGCTAATTCTGCCCCCCCCTCCCCTCCTTCACAACGCCGACGAAGCAAACTCGGGGAGGCGACTTCAGTCGAAATTGACGCCGACACGAAGCGACAACGGCCCACAGACGCGGTGGGTTACACGGCGAGCGTGGAGCCGCGGGCCGCTCTCGCCTGTGAAACTCACAAACGCCCCCGGGGCAGATCACCGCCGCCGCGAAGCCGGCACGCCTCGTTCCGAATCTGCCCTCGGGGCAGCAAGAAATGTGCAAAGAAAAAGGGTGAGGGCGCGGGTACGGAAAGCGATGGGGAGGCCGAACGCGACTGAGATTTACGAAACGCGCGCGTCGACGTCACGCACGCGCAAGGTAGAGGCGCAGGCCGTGCAACTTCCCTCCTCACGCGAACTGCCGGCAGAAGTTTTCCCCGCAGCTGGAGGGCGCTCTGGGCTCGAGAGCGCAAGCGGCCTCACAGCCGGCGAGGGGGGGGGGGATGTTACGTGAGGCGATTTATAAACGTGTGAAATTATGTCACGCGTGAGAGTCATTGGTGAATAATCATGTTGTGTGTGAACCTGCCAATATGAAATAACCGCGATAAAATATGAATCCATATGATGAAGCTGTAACGATATAAAATACCTTTCTGAACTCATTGACCGTGAACAACGCGGGTTACCAAGAGAAAATGGGGCGAGCGCTGACTACGCCGCGCATGGAGAGCGTCTGTTGTTTTTATTATTCGTAATAAAGGTTTTTGGGTGAGATCGCGTAAGTCTAAATGTGTTGTAACCCTCCCCACCACCCGACCCAGCCAGTGAGGTTTGTCACGTAAACAACGCGCCAATTAGTTACTACTTCAGCCCCACGGGTTTGTTGGAGAGTAAATCCACAACATTTACAATTTGGACAATGTCCCGCTGATGCTGCGTGTAAACTTTGTGGATTTACTCTCCAACACACCGGTGGGATGAAGTCGCAACTATTTGGCGCATTGTTTACGTGGCAAACCTTACTGGCTGGGTCAGGTGGTGGAGGGTTACGACACATACTTACGCGATCTAACCCAAAACACTTTATTATTATTATGAGTAATATTGGTCGCGAAAGCCTACGTGTTAAACTAGTTTTTATTCGCTTGCAGTAACTTAGCTGTTTAGGATATACCTCACAAAATGGACAATTGGTTAAAACATTGATGGTCATTATTCATACTTTATTTCTCACAACCATGTTGGGTCAGGAAACTGGGGAAGGGGGGGTACTCATTTGAAACAACATTCAACAAAGGGGGGTGACAGTAGCCAAACAAATGTTGAGAACCACTCCTCAAGGATATTGTGCTGTGCTATTCCCCGCCGACCAAACGTCTTGCAAGACAACCCATAAAGACACGCGGAACGACAAGACACACCCCAATCAAATGCCAGCAGTCCAGCTTGTTTTAGCAAAAGTGAACAGAATAACAGCACTCGGTTCATTCAAGTTGTTTTTTAATTCGCTTAAAAGCTCAAGACATTGCCGACACATTAGTCAACACTTACACCGACAACTGTTTAGCAAGCGACATTCATTGTTTAATTGATCAAGTGCTCAGTCACTGGAATGAATCGCAGATTCTCATTATTAACCGGCGAAGTATGAGTGTTCATTTAAACCCTGACACAAGGCTTGCATCATTGCTTGACTTTTGTCACGTGAGGAGTGAAAAGGAACTTTGAAGGCATGAAATGCCACAAAACTTTAACAATTCAGAACTTGTTTTACACTTGTGATGTCCGCTACTATGTTAGTGTATCTGCTTTCAATACATTTACGTGTATTATTTCCAGCTCTGATACAATATTTTAAGTCTTTGACTGCGCATGGTTGAAGATGCAACACCAAGTGGGGATAAAAGGACACTTAAGTTGTGATATCATATCCCACACAGCATTCTGTTAACGTGGGGTAATCATTACTCTTTGCAATAATTCCTGATGGAAATGTATTTCTCTTACGCCATTACATTAACAGCTTCATTAGAGAGTACTTGGCAAAAAAAAACGATCTGCAGATAACCACACCTGCACTCGCAAAACACAGCAATGGAGTCACGAACGATGTCATGCAGAAACCTCGACGTGAAAGTTCCTGAGAATACCAGGTTACCGTAGGCTTTGGCTGCGAGGTGGTCAAGACATATCAACATGGCCACGGATTCTTGAATCTTGAAAAAATAGTCATTGATCTGACAAAGCTGGTATTATGGACACAAAATGAATGAATTCTGAGTCTATTTGTGTGAAACTTAACGTGTTACTGCTCCCTCACTTCCGTGAGTTTTCTCCAGGCAATCCTCCCATACGCCAAGCACATTGTAATGGAATTGGCCAAACATCCTGGAGCAGCACTATCCTCCTGAAAATGAATCTTGAGACTCGGCAAGGCTTTCCTTGGTCAGTAAATGGCATTATCATCAACACAGGCTGACCAACGCATTATGGCAGCAAAACCATTGTTTTGTTTAACATACATTCATAATACAAATGGCAAGATCAGCAGAACAAAATGTGAATGGCAAGTACTTTACACAATATATTAGCTCAGACATTACATGTTTTCATATGGTGTGGTATTTCTACAATATTTGCATTTCAGGCAATACAAGGTTACATTGGCAATTAACGATTCCATGAAATTGGTTTTGACTGATATGATAAAGCGTGTTGAACATTTATATAGAGGTATGTAAAATAAAATCCAAATGCAATGGAAAATGCATGCTAGTTAAAATGTAACTTTGCCGCACACATACCCTTCAGAACTAGTTTACCCAGAGAGGCATTCTGTGCTGAACAGATATAAAATCAGCACGAATTCTATGGAAACAGTAATAGTTTCACACCTCCGGTAAATAAATGCCAAACTTCAGAGGCAGGTTGAGAGTTTACTCAGCCCATCACCCTTGAAGGATCAATATATTGAATAACAATAGTTGACCTTGGTAGGACATCACCAGTGTTTGTGAGATTGGTCCCCTGCTAAATTAATTAACTGATCCCTGCCATAGAAATGTGGAGTTTACACCACTGGATCAGGGCTGCGAAAGGAGAGGAGTATCACCACCCTGTGCCGACTTGGGCCAGGAGACAAGGGCATGTTTTATTAAACTGCTTGCGGTGCCTCTGTATACCATTATGGTTACTTCACAAGGGATGTCATAAACAATACTGTTCCCGTACAATCCCTGGGCAACATGAGTTAAAAGCAAAGAGCTAAAACGTGGAAATGGAATGCAAGAATAGTGTCATTCAACAATCAATGTGCTACGTAAGCATACGTGGAAAACTGAAATGATAAAGTACTTTAGAGTTGTTGGTGAAATGTGCATCTTTGGTCATAAATATGAATACTGTTATTCAGCTCCTATAATGTAATGCAAATTATCAAAAGTGTCTTGATATGCTTGCAATTATTTTAGCCGTTTTAGTGTTAAACAAAGTTACTACAAATATAAATATCAACGTTTTAGTGTGCGTAAATATTATGGCAGTTGAAAAATGCTACTTTGTGGACTGAATATGCACACTGCTTACCGTAGAGGCAATGATCCCACAAAGAGGCAATTTACAGTGTGGCGGATTTTTTTTTAAAGATAAGGCACTCTTTTGCACGACTCGTCCAGCAATTAAAATAAAGGCAATACACATTTGTGTGCACGACATGGTCATTTTTGCGTACCAAAATTAAATGTGATAGCACCTGCAGAAGCAACTCGGTACATCGATGCGAGGCGTTGTTTTTCTCCAACGCTGGTTTCTCAGTGTCGGAGTTGGCGGGCACCGTTCTCAACAGACTTCCTCTTGCCAGTGGCTCTCAGCATGTGCTGCCCAAACTGTGGAGTTTCAACACAACAAGCGTGATCAGCATGGCACTGACAAATGTGAATGAAACAGCTCCCCTTGTTGAAAAGCACACTCACTTGCTTATGATAGTATGACGGGGGGGGGGGGCCTCTTTGGCAGTGACATCACGTACGGATGTAGCACTGCTGTGTAGATTTATTTTTGACCGTCACTTTCTGTAAAGAAACGTCATATTTCAAGCGACTTTGAGAAAAAATATATCTTTCCACTCGACCTTCTTCCGCGTAAATGTAAAAATCCACCCGCTCATGATTATTTTATTATTAATCACGGGGGGAGTGGGTGCGGCATGTGGAGTGACATCACACGCGTTACACACATTTCTGGGCTATTATAGTAGTAATATGTGATGGCGAAGTGATTATTGCTCTGTGCATAGAGCCTGAAAACTTGATTTCAATTGCCGGCCATGGCTAATATGAGTGATGAGTGACATCAGAACAGGTCCAGCGAGGTGTGTATGGTCAGTATGGTCAGAAAACCCTCCATGACCGATTCAGCATGGGGAGGCTCTTATCCAGCGGTGGATTGATAAAGGACCGTAAATAGTAAATATAAAATATGCAAATGTTAATTTAGGCTCACGGAAAGAACAAAAGAACAAACGAGATGGTATATATAAAATATTTTAAAAAACATGATCTTCACTTTAACCGTGACTATTTGTCTTATCGCTGGGGAGTGGTGAATCATTGCATGCCTACTCGTTGCATGACTATTAGGGCAAGTGCTGTTCATGAGCACCTATGAAGGCCGGCACAGCACACGAGATGGTGAGTGGTCAACACCACGCCTGGCTGCCTTTGTCTCCCCAGTGGTGATGTTTACACACCATACCAAGGACTAATTTGAGGCAGATATTCGTCACTGGTGTTGGTCGTGAGCTGGTCGCCGAATTTATAGTACAGTGCATAACCACTACATTACCGCTCCCCACTGCGTTCATACGCACAGATGCATGCGCACGTGCACCCTTCTCACCTTGGGCTGCTCAGGGCCAGTGTGCGGCAGTGGTCGGCCACGCCCGGTTCTCTCCTTCTCTGGCGACGCGTCCCGGTTGTAGCGGTGCGCGAACTTGCGTTTGAGCGCAGCCGCGATCATGGCCACGGGGTCATCCTCGTCCACCTCGCCCTGCTTCCCCTTGGCTGGCGTTCCTCCCGGTGACCTGCATCCCCAGAGCCACGCCAAGCACACAGTAGTCGCACGACGGCTCTCACCTCTGTTAACATCCTACAAATTACGCATTAATACAGGTACGTGCGATGATTCATTGATTAAAATTGGCGGGTTTACCAATCAATTGTAAGGCACGTGCGGCTTGTAACAAATGATTTTTTTTGCCAAGTTTGGCAACGTCTCGCCACTGCAGCTGTGCATACAGGGTACATCAATACCCGGTGGTATAATAATGTGGTACAAGTAATGTTATAATATGTATAGGATTCAATCATGCTAATTATATGCTCATCTTCCTTTACAAACATGATAGAAAAAGAGGCGATGAGACACCCCTCAATGGTAATAGCGATAGAACGTGTCGTCACAGCGGTGGTACGTGTCGTCACAGCGGTGGTACGTGTCGTCACAGCGGTGGTACGTGTCGTCACAGCGGTGGTACGTGTCGTCACAGCGGTGGTACGTGTCGTCACAGCGGTGGTACGTGTCGTCACAGCGGTGGTACGTGTCGTCACAGCGGTGGTACGTGTCGTCACAGCGGTGGTACGTGTCGTCACAGCGGTGGTACGTGTCGTCACAGCAGTGGTACGCGTCGTCACAGCGGTGGTACGTGTCGTCACAGCGGTGGTACGTGTCGTCACAGCGGTGGTACGTGTCGTCACAGCGGTGGTACGTGTCGTCACAGCGGTGGTACGTGTCGTCACAGCGATAGAACGTGTCGTCACAGCGGTGGTACGTGTCGTCACAGCGGTGGTACGTGTCGTCACAGCGGTGGTACGCGTCGTCACAGCGGTGGTACGTGTCGTCACAGCGGTGGTACGTGTCGTCACAGCGGTGGTACGCGTCGCCACAGCGGTGGTACGTGTCGTCACAGCGGTGGTACGTGTCGTCACAGCGGTGGTACGTGTCGTCACAGCGGTGGTACGTGTCGCCACAGCGGTGGTACGTGTCGTCACAGCGGTGGTACGCGTCGTCACAGCGATAGAACGTGTCGTCACAGCGGTGGTACGTGTCGTCACAGCGGTGGTACGTGTCGTCACAGCGGTGGTACGCGTCGTCACAGCGGTGGTACGTGTCGTCACAGCGGTGGTACGCGTCGTCACAGCGGTGGTACGTGTCGCCACAGCGGTGGTACGTGTCGTCACAGCGATAGAACGTGTCGTCACAGCGGTGGTACGTGTCGTCACAGCGGTGGTACGTGTCGTCACAGCGGTGGTACGTGTCGTCACAGCGGTGGTACGTGTCGTCACAGCGGTGGTACGCGTCGTCACAGCGGTGGTACGCGTCGCCACAGCGGTGGTACGTGTCGTCACAGCGGTGGTACGTGTCGTCACAGCGGTGGTACGCGTCGTCACAGCGGTGGTACGCGTCGTCACAGCGGTGGTACGCGTCGTCACAGCGGTGGTACGTGTCGTCACAGCGATGGTACGTGTCGTCACAGCGGTGGTACGTGTCGTCACAGCGGTGGTACGTGTCGTCACAGCGATGGTACGTGTCGTCACAGCGGTGGTACGCGTCGTCACAGCGGTGGTACGTGTCGTCACAGCGATGGTACGTGTCGTCACAGCGGTGGTACGTGTCGTCACAGCGGTGGTACGTGTCGTCACAGCGGTGGTACGCGTCGCGACAGCCTCACCTGTCCACGGTGCGCAGCTTCACTTTGTCGATGCCCTTAAGCACGTCCATCATGTTGGGGACGCACGCGGTCGCCGCTTTCTCCGCTCCCCCTTCCCCTCCTCCCTTCTCCGCACGCCGCTGCTTGATGAGGGCGAGCGTCGACACCCGGGAGGATTCACCGGCCCCGGTGGGGGGCAGGGGCGGAGGTGGTGGAGGGGGGCCTGGGGGCGGCGGAGGGGGTGCAGAGGGGCCATCGGGAGAGGTGGAGCCTGCGGGGTGCAAGTGACATGAGGGTGGCGCATAGGGAGACAGGTGGCGACAGTTGGGCACGGTGCTTGGACAATACGAATAATTAATTACTATTTTCCCAGAAAAGACTGATTTGAGTCTTAACTGTTTCAGGAGGATGACTTGTTACGTGCATAACAGACAAGAAACTAGGACTACAAATCATGCATGGATTGCGAATATGGATTTTGTAACGTTTACAAAATGCACGTTTTCAGAAATATTTACCTAAGATATAACGTCATCTTCAAAGCCACGCAACGAGATGACATCAGACGTTATGACGTCACCAAGAGGCGAGCTGCACACAGTGTGACATCATCATCTTGGCTGAAAATTGGGTTTTCTATTAATCGCTAGGTTTTTTTTTCGCCAAGCTTTATGGTAATTTTCTAATACACATTGACACTAAAATTGTGTTCACATTGCTTCACCTCAAGCATATTTGTAAAGCGTAAAAAGTATCACAAAATTTAATTCTGTGATATTATACAACTACTGGCTGGGAGCAATTCCGCTTGAAACTCACAAGAAGCCTGCTGTTCGTGCACAGCAACGATCATGGCAATCTGTTTACGCAGCCGAGCCAGCTCCTCCTCCAGTGCGGATATCTTGCGCATGGCTTCATCGCTAGGCACTGGTGGGTCCGGGGCAGCTTCGTTCGACACAGCCTCGTTCGACGCAGCCTCGTTCGACGCAGCCTCGTTCGACGCAGCCACGCTCGACGCAGTCTCAACTCCACAGTCGCATTCTCCCGGCTCAGCCGCTTCCAGCAGGGTGGCCAGACCCCGCTCGCCCCCGTCGCCCCGTGGCTTGCGCACCCCCGCAGAGCCCGACTCTTTCCCCCCACACCCCACCAGCATCATTGCCGCTGCCGCGGCAAGTTGGCTGCCGAGCGAACTATGATCACAGACTTCCGGCCGCACCTCTGTCCTGAGAGGAGAGGGGGGGGGAAACGCAAAGTGAATATTATGACCCGGCACTAAGCGGCGGTCAACGTTTGAAGGATGGCAACACTGCTTTCATCCCGCGCTTGCTGGATATGAGCCTGATTGAAGCGGCTCACGTCTTTACGCCAGGGACTCAAAAAAAGAGGGATCCTAATGTGAATCGGCAAACTTTTACATAATCTGCGACAAGTTTACCAATCATAAGGCACGTGCAGCACGTACGAAATTAAAGTACCATTTCGTCACTGCAGAGGAAGGTGACCGTGTACATGGACGGTCACAGTTGTAATATTTCTGCTTCTCAAGTTAAAAGCAGAGGAGCATACAAATATATTTCAATAAATACATCGGAATATGATTCTTTTTTTAGAAATATTGCAATTCATCTTTCTTTAATAAGTGTCGCTCGAGAGCGAACACAACCATTTCTCCAGATCAGGTCCTGCCCTCAAAAAACTGCATTGTGGAAAGAGTTACCGGAGTCTGGTGAAGGATTCCCCTTCATCGTCTACGACCCACACGATGTCAGCAAGAGTCAGCTCCCTGGCTCCTTCACCCAACCGCCATGCACCCAACTGCATGCACAGACCCACGCAGACACCCACACCTGCGCTATTTACCGGGTAACAGAAAATTAAAAGGTGACTGAAAATGCATCAAAAAGTGTTCCGTCCATCGCTAATGTTAGCCATCATACTCCTTAAGTCTCACTGGATACCTATGTGCACAGACTTATATGAACCTAGGTAGATTTACACAGCTGTACCAATGTTGATACTGGCTTTCTGAGTTGGGGCAATAACATTGAACCATAAAAATCACGACGGACCCTTCGTCTGCCTCTCTGTACACTTTCATGAATTGGTGTACGTGCGTAAGAATATATAATTGCGGTGCTAATATATATATACACGTGTTGTGCTATTTAAAAAAAAACGAAACATGAAGACACAAATGGATCTGTACTGAAAACCGCTTGCCCTTGCATGAATGACTGTGGCTGGAGGACCCAAGTGTTGAACGAGCTCTCCCTCACCTGCACGTTGGCTCGCACGCACGGCTTGAGAGGAAGATGGGACGCGATGCGGCGCACGAGGCTACGAGAGCTACCGTAGGGCTTCCCATCCTGCAAACAAAGACAAAGATCCCCCGTATAGCCTTTAACAGACTGTTGGGGTAAGTGCTACTTTTGAGCACCTGTGAAGGCTGGCACGGCACGAGAGTAGGTGGGTGGGCAACACCACCAGGCACTCAATTGTTTACACATCACATCAGGTAGGCAATTGAGGCTGAGTCAACCTAGATGAGGCCCGGGTCCGGTTCAGATATTCGTCACTGGTGTTGGCCGTGAACGGGAATCGAACTCGGGTCTCCGGGTTTGTAGTGCAGCGTGCTTACCGCCACACCACCGCTCCCATTCTGCCCACACACACGCACACATACCACCCTCGCGTCACCATCATTCCCTACCCACAGACGTTACACCAGAACAGGCAGCGTCTCACTGACAACGGTGGGTTGTGGCTCAACTTTGAGAAGGAAATTGGTTTATCCTGGCTTCCAAACTGCATCTGGTCACCCAGCAGCATTTGTTTAGCAAGTCCGACCGCTCGTGAGACCCAGAAAGTTGAAACCAGCACAGACTTTGCGCAGACAAATGCAGCTGGGCGATGCTGATCTTGACAGCCCCATGGACCTTTGCGTGTGTGTACATTTTATATATATAGTATATGGATACACACAGGAAGCAGTTCGGTTTATGGATGCAAACACTGTTTGCTTAATTGCAACGCAACATGGAAACATTCCTGGCTGTCAAGTGGGTTTCATACCTGCGGTGTGCCCATTCTGAGTTGGGTCGCGGCAAATTCTTCGTCTCGTCCCTTCACCGCCACATTCTCTCAACTACCACGGCGTTCCGCAGCTGAAAACAAATACATTTAACACAGGATCGTTGGCATGAACTATAACAATACGATGCAACCCATAGCAAGACACCACACAATATGAGTACACAATATGTATTGCACAATGTGAACAAAAATACTTTGTCCCAGTGAATTTATTGAAGCAACTGTGGGTGGAAAAATTTAATCGCAACAAATGCCACCACAGCTCGCCATCTCTTCCTTCCATGTGCCAGACCCCTCCTGCAATCGTACAGCATTTCCTGCAGTCTCATCACCATTATCCAACTTTATGCCTTTCACTCTGCTACGCGGTCTCACACACGTCCGTTAAGACCCACTCTTAAAATGTAATCACCATCACCTGCCTGGAGGTCACACGATTTCCCGCCCGCCAAGGAAAACACGTGGGGAAAAGAATGTTCCCCGTATCTTGTTCGTTCTCACCGGTGCCGATGTGAAATAAGTGCCCCCAAACCCCAGATGCTCCAGTGAACACGAGGGGGAGGTGGCCGTGATTGTGTCGTAACGAGGCTGTCAGTCAGACAGCCACACGGAACATCATCATCATCGGCCACGCACGCATGCCTGTAGCGATGTTGTAACAACAGCCTCGGAAGCTTTGGAACCCGAGGCGCCACATCGCCACGCCATCGCCACGCACGTCTGACCTCGTGCAAGGTCAGCATCGTGAGTTAGCAACTGTTGGCGCTGCACTGTTCAGAGAGTCACAAAGTCTACTAGCCTAGGGCCGCACATGGAGCCACGTGGATCTTCGTCGACAAACTGCTTTGTGCGTGTTTTTGTTCCATTCCCACCCGCTGATTTTCCAATCTCTTTGCCCCATCCTCTCTCTGCGTGCCCATTACCCCGAGGCGAGAAAGAGTCGCTTTCGTGTGGCAAATAGCGCAGGATGTGCCTTAGTAATGTAGTAGCGTGGTGGTGGTGGTGGTAACGGGGTGGACACGGCGTGATGGTGATGATGGGAGGCAGTGCCGTTATTCCGTACGACTGGTGATGATGTCGTGTCGTGTGTGTGTGCGCAAGTGGGTTTTGGAGTTTGGTGATGTTGGTGGTGATGTTGGTGGTGGGCTGTGTCCGTGATGGTTGTTGATGCGATGGTGATTTGATGCGGTGATGTAGTGCGGTGCGAGAGACGTTTCTGTGTGATGTGGAGTGGTGTGAGGAGTGATGTGGAGTGGTGTGAGGAGTGATGTGGAGTGGTGTGAGGAATGATGTGGAGTGGTGTGAGGAGTGATGTGGAGTGGTGTGAGGAGTGATGTGGAGTGGTGTGAGGAGTGATGTGGAGTGGTGTGAGGAGTGACGTGGAGTGGTGTGAGGAGTGACGTGGAGTGGTGTGAGGAGTGATGTGGAGTGGTGTGAGGAGTGATGTGGAGTGGTGTGAGGAGTGATGTGGAGTGGTGTGAGGAGTGATGTGGAGTGGTGTGAGGAGTGATGTGGAGTGGTGTGAGGAGTGATGTGGAGTGGTGTGAGGAGTGATGTGGAGTGGTGTGAGGAGTGACGTGGAGTGGTGTGAGGAGTGATGTGGAGTGGTGTGAGGAGTGATGTGGCGGTATGGTGCCGCGAGCTTCGTTGTCACCCAGAGCTTCCGTCTGTCCCCGTGTCTACGTCTCTCCCCGTGTCTCCGTCTCTGTCTCCCCTTGTCTCTGTCTCTCTCCACGTCTCTCTCCGTGTCTCCCCGTGTCTCCCAGTGCCTGTGTCCCCTTGTCTCCGTCTCTCTCCCCTTGTCTCTCCCCGTGTCTCCCCGTGTCTGTGTCTCCCGGTGCCTGTCTCCCCGTGTCTCTGTGTCTCTGTCTGTCTCCCCGTGTCTATGTCTCTCCCCGTGTCTCCGTCTCTGTCTCCCCTTGTCTCTGTCTCTCTCCACGTGTCTCTCCGTGTCTCCCCGTGTCTCCCGGTGCCTGTGTCCCCTTGTCTCCGTCTCTCTCCCCTTGTCTCTCCCCGTCTGTCTCCCCTTGTATCCGTGTCTCCCCGTGTCTGTGTCTCCCAGTGCCTGTCTCCCCGTGTCTCTGTCTCTGTCTGTCTCCCCCTTGTCTCTGTCTCTCCCCGTGTCTCCGTGTCTCTCCACTCACCGCCACCTCCACGCGTTCTCCAAGCGATTACATTTCCCAGACCGCACGCGTTGGGGGGGGGGGCTGGTGTGTCCCTGACCGCCCTCCTCAGACGGCCGATTGGTCGGTGGGCACGCGCTCCTCAGCAGCGCGTCCCTCGATTGGCTCGACCGCGTTGAGGCAGCCCAATGAGAAGGCGAGGCGGCACAGACCGCGCGTATCCCAAGTGGGAAATACAAAGTGCGAACCCAGCCGGCTTGCCAACTTTCCGATAAGCGGCTTCCCGTTAAGTCAACATGTGGTAAGGATCTTGATTTGAAGCTTTCGTGACTGCAGAAATCCATACTTTGGTTCTTTCGGTATTTTATTTCTACCTACGTGATTTTACCGAAAGAACCAAAGAGTATGTGTTAAGAAATTTAATATACACACTACTGCATTACCAAACTATTATTTTATTCTACCCGGTAAGGCATACTGAGCTATACAACTTTTTTTCAGAAGCGAGCTGGCCACAAATGACAGCTCAACCAAGTGCTTATCGTCGTGTGGGAACTTATAGCAGCAGACAAAAACTTGATTCTAAATACGAAGGGGCATAACGGAGGACCCGGAGGGAAAAAACTCCATGCGAGCATGGGGAGCGAGACATGAAAATTCCAAATATACAGCAGCAGCAGGCATCAGGGTGGAGATCGAACCCACGACCTCTTGTATACCAGGCGAGGTAGTTAACATTTCACCATCTCAGCACTCGAGAATTCGGGCCACTGCCCAAAACGTAGCGCCTTTTCAACTCCCCAACCCTATCTGAAGGCCACATTGACGAATGTTACGTTTTGAGGCCGATTGGTTAAAATGACGGGGGATGGTGGTGGTTATGAGCCAATCACGTCCTTTGGTCGACAACGCTAACGTGGTGCGGGTAACACTCGCTACATGCGTCAAAACCACGTGTTGATTCGTCCATTACTCCCAAATACACGAGTCCTATTGGACTAAGTCGACCCTGCAGTCACCGCTTTGGTTTCTCCATTCGCAAAGAAAAACCAGAAATATGCCAAAGTCAACGCTTCTGAAATATTACACAACTGTAGAAGACAAAAGTTGGAATACGAATTTTTTTTATTAAAACTTTCAATCCATACTTGCATTTCATATATTTGTAACTCATGTGGCATTAAGTGTCTTGGACTCGAAGGATAAAAAATTATATACATTGTGTGGATGCCAAAATGTTCTAACATTGGCACGATGCAAGTTTACCAAGCATAACAGTATGCTATATCGAAATATATTTAAAAATGAGGGACTGTTACACACTCAACCATTCATCAGTAACATCGCTTCACAATGAACAAAAATGTAAATCTATTAAACGTTACTCTTTGCCTTTCCAATACTTTAAGGGCCATTGCCTCATTAGCCCTTATTTTTCTGGTCAGTGGATTAAATGCAAATACAGAAGTGCCGGTACGAAACGTTGATCCTGCAGCCCACGACCATTTCCCAATATTGGTGATGTTAGGTTAAAATGTTAAGTGTGCCAGTATACACATTTGGTGTTCCGAGAAGTATATATAGCCGTGCACCGGCCCATTTCATGCACTGCTTAATGTTATAAAGCAGTCTTTATTTGAAGCTTTTGTGACTGCAGGAATCCATACTCTTCGGTTCTTTCGGTAAAGTCACGTAGGTAGAAAATAAATCACGACGTTTCGGGCACAACACAAGCGTCCATCATCAGGTGGGATGGTCTGCTGCCGAGGCAGACTGTTTTATAAGGCAGTGTTCACAACTTGGCAAGTGTTTTATTGGTTACATAAAAAAATGTGTAACAGGGGAGGCAATAATACATTTTAAAATATTAAATTATGCTCCATGATTATATTATAACAGTTAATTATTGCCATGGGCAATGCCGTTAATAAGAATAGTGAAGTTCTTGTTTTTCAGCCCAATCTTCAGTTCTGACTTTCAGCAAACGGCCATGATGATCTCTTTTCTTCTCTGCTTAAACCTCGACAAACTCTTCTGGTCATTCTGTAAACAACAAAGTACTATTGGTCAAGAAATTAAATACTGCACACACGTATCACCACATGGAACTAAAAAACACATTTTGGCCAACCCAACCTTGTCAAGCCAAAACAATTGGGCTAAAACAGAGATGCATTTTTACCAGCATAACCGTGCAAGTAGGTCATTAATTCTAGATTTGAAGTTTTCATGACTGCAAGGATTCATACTGTTATTTCGGGAAAGTCACGTAGGTAAAAATAAAATTAAAGAAAACTAAATTAAGTAGGTCATTGTTCGCAAATAATTGTATTTAAATTATACCAACTTGCAACATTTTACAGGAAGCATAAGGTAAGCATTATATACATTCCTTAAAAGAGATGTTTAAGTTCACTATGCCCCAACAATGTAGAAATTATCTACACCTCGTGCAAATATATATCCAAAAAAACGTTGCATGAAATCTACGTATCGTTTGTAAAAAGTTATTTTCACACATATATCAGATGTATTCTTCGAAGCCCATGTGTTACAATATTGTCATGAACGTACAGCTGTGCCTCAGTAAAATTGGGTAACGGATATGGCAGTTTTCCTCATGAATATCAGTAGAGGGAGCCAGGTAATCATCATCAGCACAACTACGGACCTCAACCCTGGCCACCACATAGACCCCTGCACAAAACCTCAAGAGTTGTACCTGGGCACACAGAGCAGTCGCCCCAGATCCCAACCTCGTCTGCTCTTTGGGTCAGGAATACCAGGCTTCATCCATCCACTCTGCTGGCCGATGCCCACAGCAAAAACACACACCTGCTAGGAAACAAAACAACAATTGCCTAAGTCTTATTCAAGGACTAGAACCTCTCAAATGATAGTCTCAAAAGACTGTCAGGTGCAATTGACGTTTACATCTTACACGATTCGATGACAATCGTGACGTGTAGACCGGATGTACGATATGTATGTGCGGCCTATTACAAACCAATTGGATATTTCTGGTTATGTTTAAGTGTGTATGAAATACACTTCTTTAATCCTGAGTCACCACCATTCGCAAGCTGTTATGCTGCAGTATATATTAAAAAAAATGATGCACGTGCATTCAATACCACGATTCTTAATATCATCACCAAGTCTGCACAAGGCATGAACAATTTATAAAATCAAATTGATACAATCGTTCAGGATGTCTGCATCGACTCGCTTGCTATTCATCATTTTGTTCTTTACAGCGTCTGGAGGTGCAATTGCATTTAGATGAAAATCTGTGCCTCAGTGGAAATGGGTAACGGATATGGCAGTCGTCCTCATGAACAAACTCAGTAGAGGGAGCCAGGACATCATCATAGGCACAGCAAGGGACTGACACTGACCACCACACGGATCCTACACACACACCACCTCACACGAGTTTTATTACCTGGGCACGTGCATCAGAGACAACCTCTCTTCACACCAGGCACCACCTCCTCCTCTGTTCACTGGGCCAGTTCCCAACCTGGTGCAGCTCCCACAATCTTTGTTGGACCATGAACACCAGCTTCGTTCAGCCACTCTGCTGGCCGATGCCCACAGCAAAACCACACACCTGCTAGGAAACAAAACAACAATTGCCTAAGTCTTATTCAAGGACTAGAACCTCTCAAATGATAGTCTCAAAAGACTGTCAGGTGCAATTGACGTTTACATCTTACACGATTCGATGACAAACGTGACATGTAGACCGTATGTACGATATGTATGTGCGGCCTATTACAAACCAATTGGATATTGCTGGTTATGTTTAAGTGTGTACGAAATACACTTCTTTAATCCTGAGTCACCACCATTCGCAAGTTGTTATGCTGCAGTATATTAAATAGTGTATATTAAAAAAAATGATACACGTGCATTCAATACGATTGTTATTATTATGATGAAGTCTGCACAAGGCATGAACAATTTCTAAATTCAAATCAATACAATCGTTCAGGATGTCTGCATCGACTCGCTTGCTATGCATCATTTTGTTCTTTACAGCGTCTGGAGGTGCAATTGCATTTAAATGAAAATCTGTGCCTCAGTGGAAATGGGTAACGGATATGGCAGTCATCCTCATGAACAAACTCAGTAGAGGGAGCCAGGACATCATCATAGGCACAGCAACGGACTGACACTGACCACCACACGGATCCTAGACACACACACCACCTCACACGAGTTTTATTACCTGGGCAGGTGCATCAGAGACAACCTCTCTTCACACCAGGCACCACCTCCTCCTCCGTTCACTGGGCCAGTTCCCAACCTGGTGCAGCTCCCACAATCTTTGTTGGACCATGAACACCAGCTTCGTTCAGCCACTCTGCTGGCCAATGCCCACAGCAAACACACACTTCAGATAGGAAACACAAAACGTTAATTGTATACGAGACTTGTGAAACGATTACAACTTATAATATATTAGTGTCTCAAGATACTGCCGGATAAAATTGACGTTTGCATTCTAAACGAGTTCGATCATTGTATATGGTATGTATCTATAATATACATTTGTGGGGCTCAAACTGCCTGGAAATTGCTGGTTATATTTTAACAATCGCTGGTTATATTTTAACAGTAATGTCGATGGGTCACCAGTCTTAAGCAGTTGTGAACAGATTAGCGTAAAATTAAGACCCGAAAGCTTCCATACAAATTACACTTTGCAAAACTAATACAATTAATCTATCGTAAAGCTTTATATTTAGATAAAATACGCAATTAGGTGGATATTTATAATTAGTAATGTACGCCAGTTTACTTGAACTGGGATATTTCTAAAAAAATGTTACAACAGACCGAGCTTCAAATGTCACGCCAACATTTTGTGAAATGTCCATCACATGGTTCCTTGCATAGTAGTACTTTAGAGACATCCAGCAAAGTGAATAACTACTGTGGCTTTTAGTTCCATATGGTCGACAACTGTAAATGAGCTGTTGCTCGTAGGTTAATTACACACCGCACCCACATTCTTGTTCCCATCATTGTCCCACTGCGTCTTGAGACACAGCTAAATAGACACTTGCATTAGTAATCTTGTGTATTACTTAACATCCATGGGACCATCTTGCCGGTAACAAAG